ATACTAAAAACTACAGAAAACACATACTCAAAGATACAACACTCACAAATGACACATGCAGAAAATGTCACATCATGCCAGAAACTATACAACACATCACTTCTGGATGCAAGCTCTTGGCACAGACAGATTACTTACACAGACACAATCAAGTAGCAAATATAATACACCAAGAGCTTGCAAAGAAACACAACTTGGTAGACATTCACAAACCATACTATAAGTATATTCCACAGACAGTGTTGGAAAACTACATGCACAAAATATACTACGACAGAGCCATAATCACAGATAAAACAATTTACCACAACAGACCAGAAATCACACTCATTGACAAACACAATAAAATCCCATACATTATAGACATAGCCATTCCAAACACTCACAACGTACAAAACACATGTACTGAAAAAATTAGCAAGTACACAGAACTTGCCCAGGAAATAAGGCATCTGTGGAGAATGGATAGGGTGCTTATTGTACCTGTCGTTCTCTCCTGTACAGGTGTGATACCACACACACTACACAAAAGCCTGGGAACATTACAAATGAGTAGAAATACATACATCACACTACAGAAGGTCACTATATTGAATACATGCCACATTGTTAGAAAATTCCTGAATACTGACACACACACTGACACACTTCTTTAATTTTAGTTTTGTTTTGGTTGCTATGCCTTGACTTTGGTCCGGCATAGTACACAGCCACCGGTGTGAACTGAGTATAACTCACAAAATTCAACATAATAATATATTATTTGATAATTCTAATATCAATAGTTCTTTCCAATAAAAGTGTTGTTTGGAACTTGCATTTTTCCTTGTCATTATTAATCATTTTGTCTGAAATTTTATCTATGTTAAATACATATCGAATCTGATGTTAAGATTCCAGGGTTCATATCAATCTGGAAACCAGGGAAACCTGGGAAAGTCAGAAAATTTTAAGAATGGTTAGAATATTTTCATTTTACAGGAATAAATACTTTTTAAAATAAATATTCACTAATTTAATTGGCTAGTATTTAACATTTATGAGTCATTCCACATCAAATCAACAAGGCAAAAAGCTAAAGTTATGCTCATTAGGGTGTCTTGTTTTGACAAAAAAAAATTCTTTTGTCAAAATGTTTTTATTCACCCCCTAAAATTTTTGCATTTGGTCAAATTACTCAAATATGAAGTTTCAATTTGATAGGATGACATTAAATTGTGCCAACTTGAGCTTGAATATGAGGAATGATTGACATGGGGATATTATGCAACAGCAAAAATCAAAAAACCTAAGCAATAAAGTAGTTTCTCAAATACATAGCACAAGTGTTGGCTATGCTTCTTCAAAGGTACTGTAGAAATGGTTGTATCTATCACTTCATATGATTTTATGGACTTCAAGAAACAAATATCTTGATTAGAGACTTTTACAATGCACTGCACTTAAACCATGGTTTAATGTAAACTGTTACAAACAGAGAAATAGTATGCAAAGCTTCCTCTTCTCTGATGGTTGAAGTTTTGACCTTAGTAGAAACATTTTTAGAAAATAAGTTGCCATCCATCAAGTTTGATGCCTAGCCCCAGGAGGACAGACTTTTAGTTTCTTTTCTATGTCACCTCCCAAAAATAGTTCTATAAGTTTATGGTAATCACTTGGATTTTTTTTCTGTAGTTCAGCTTTATAAAAATCAAATAATTGTTGAAGTTCTAGCTTACTGAAAAACTCCTCCATGTAATCTTTAATACTTTGAAAATTACTAGCATTAACATTTTTCCCAACTTTCTTTTAATAGTGTGAAGAGAGGTATGTCGGGACTACTTGTTACATCACATATTTTTCTTTCAAATCACTTCATAAGACTAATTCATAAATATGATGAATACATAGACATCTCAGGGTTTTTGTTGCATGAGGCTTTCAAGAACTTCTTCACTTCCTTGCCATAGTCAGGATTTAACTCCTGTTGCCATTCTCTCTTTCTGTCTTTCCCTTCCCAGTCCAAACAATGGAACAATGTTCCTTCTTCCCTTTTAGCCTCTTAGGCAATTTTCTTTTCCCCATGGGACAGTTCAGAACAACAATCATCAACCAAGTGAAGTGAACAAGAAGATTCCTGAAGTGGTAAAAGACAAAAAGTGAAGACAGAAGCTACAAACTATAATATTCTAATTTAAAATTATGACATACAGCCACAGTAGATACTTTTTGGATTACAAATTCCTGTATAGCCACATCACTTTAAAAAAAGAAAAAAACCATAATTATAGTACATCTATAAATACAGAATTTTTGATTTTGCTACATTGTATAAAAATATACTTACATTTGGTGAAGATTATACATTAAGTATACATATTTTTCTTTTTATTACGTTCTTTTTGATTATTTTTTTTCCCTCCTGAAATCTTTTCTACAAATTTTATAATATTTTATAAAAATATTATAAAATTGGCTTTTTTCATTTCTTAATAAAGTTAAATTTTAAAATTTACTCATATTCTAAAAATGAAATTACTTTTTCTATATATATAGAGAAAGTTTGGAATATATATATATATACACTGTATTTACTTGCTTATAAAACAAGGGTTTTATCCATTTTTCACTGCTTCAAAAACCTAAGTCATCCTATACACAAAAGTGAAGGATTCTTTTCATTTTTGTATAATTTTTGTAAACTGTGTATTTGCATTTTGTACCAGATTCTCACCTTCTGGTGTTTAAAAACAAAAGTATTTTATCTGGGTTGTTTGAATTGTTCTTGTGTATTATTGGGAGTAAAGATGAATAGCAATAGGAAAAGCAAAGCTTTTTAAATGAATTCTGAAATTACATGGAAGTCCAATATAAGTTTTAATTCATTCCCATGTGAAAACAGATGATTATTTGGAAATCAGAATTTGAAGAAACTCATAAGTGTAATTGATGAAGAGTGAATTCGACTATTAAGAATTGGCAAGAAAAAGATTCCCAATTGTCCAGCTTTACATGAACAAATTATGTTGTCGATTTTACAAGATTTTTCCTTGAAGTTTAAAATGCCAGTAATTTTTGTGGAACAATGTGCACATTTATGTTCATTTGATATTTTATTTGTTATGAAATGAAATAAAATTAGAATTCTATTAATAAATCTAATTTTCTTTATTTTGATCTTTAAAGTCACACCTCGACCTATATGTGAGATCATCTTATATTTGAGTAAATATAGTATATCTATAAATATATATATAGATATACTGTATTTACTCATATATATATATATATATACATATCGAATCTGATG